CGCTTGCTCTGGTTGGCCACATCCCGGAGGCTGATTGGGGTGAAAGAGCTAAAGAAGCAGCCTTTTCGCCACCTACGGTTTGAATTTCCCGCCCTTTTTCCCTGACTATTTCGTCCGTAGGTCAAATCTCCGGCCGCAAGTCGATCCAAAATTTTGCGGCTGGAGCTGTCCGTACGTCAAAAAATCTGTAAGTGGGACCATTCGTAGGTTGAGACTCCACTGTATCCTGAACTTGATCCAACAAATCATGTTTTAGAGGCTCAGGAATGTGCTGTAATCTTGCAGCAACTTCAACCACTCTGAATATGCAGTTTCCCCATGTGTCCCCCCCCCCATGACCTGGAATTGTAACTCGTGTTACCTTCTAGCCATGGTTTGAAAATAAAGCAATAATCATACGTTTCCAGTTTGAAAACACTATAATATTTTCAAGAAAGTAAGAGGTACACCACTATAAGAGAACTTGCTTTTGGGCTGGTAGATATCCAAAATGGAGGGGTAGGTATATTAACAGACAATTCTTGCCATTCAAGGAGATGAATGCTGTGCTGAAGTTGTTGAAGGATTGGTGGTATTTTATTAATCCCAAAATGATGTGGAGTCAGTGATGGGCAATAAGATTGTTACTTTGGAAAATGACTCTGGATTGTTTAGGATGTTGAAACCCAATGTAATAGGGTAAATGAGTGACAAAATTGAAAAGGAGGGGTAATATAGTGGTGCCTCGACTTACGAATGTCCCTACTTATGACCATTTTGAGTTACGACCAGATCTGGCCACAAAATTTTGCTTCTACTTCCACTTATGAACAGAAAAGGCAGGGGGAAAAGATGGGAAATTCAAATTTCTAACTGTAGGTGGCGACAAGGTTGCTTCTTTGTAGCTCTTTCGTCCTAGCAGCTAGAGAGCATTTATTTATTTATTTATTTATTTTATATCCCGCCTATCTGGTCGGGTGAGGACCACTCTAGGCGGAGGGGGCTTGGGACTGCCTTGCTTCTGCTTCTGAGTGAGCGTGTGTGTGTTT